CTTGCAAGAAGCTAATTCGCACGACACGTTGACGAGATAACAAGTGGATAATTCAGGAACACTTCTTTGGTCATTCATTGCTGGAGTTCATCAAGGAAGAATTCCGGTTCTGTTCACGTTCCGGCTCTATCGTGAGACGTTTGATATCGCCGTCGGTTCATATCTATACCCGTTGGCAAGATAGCGTTTAGTTTACCAGACATCTATGGATTTGGGTACAAACGGAACAGGAGATAGATACAACTGTACTGCATAGTAGAGGTAGCCACGCCATCGACAGAAAACATCAGTTGGCAGGCACCTATACCGATGCCCGTGGAGGATCAAAATACTTTCTGAGGCATCTGTCACAAGAAGCGCGCTTACAGTAAAGCCAGCATTGGGCTGTACTACCTACTCCGCACATATGCTCGAGTCGGGTCTAGAGGTATACATACCTCCAAAGCGCTTCTGCACCGAAGACTTCGAGATCCGTAGTATTGTATTTACCTGACATGCTTATTTATACTCATCACCCCTGGTCTGTCCGGTATGTCGCTCGGTACCTATTTACACGGTTTCTGAACATGGGGGAAGACACGAAATGAAATGCCGTACAATCCATCGATTATATGGAAGGTAGTGCGGAGGGAAGTCTAGGTGATTCTGGTGACTTTAGTGATTCAGGGCCAGAATTGTACAAGTAAGAGGTTTGTGTGCGTGTGTTTGAATTCCTCCTGTCAACTCGTTCTCTGACTTTGAAATCTGGCGATTTTAGCCAATCAGATCAATTGGATAGACCTGCCTGGCCCTGCTATCCTCTGTCAATGGATATGGGATGTGTTCTGCGCTAACAGAGAAATCAGCATTAGGTATAGCCACGACATTTTCACGATACACTACACTACAACGAGGCATCATATGCGATCAACCACCTCAGCCGGGTACATCGACCGAGCTCGTTCGCTGCACTGTGAGCTTCCAGAATGAGGTTAGGTTGATCTTCTCTTCACCGCTAGTTCAACCAAGGCTGCAGCTCAGTCCGTCGAAGCGCAGACCCCCTCCCCGGTCGGCTTCCTTTCCCACCCTCTAGAGGTACATACTTACAAATACCACACAGTACGGTAATCCGAGCGTAAGATCTATCCGAGAGAGTTCAGTACCGACCTTACCTTCCATGCCCACCTGCCCTGTTCGTGATTGTTGTTTCTATTCGACCTCTCACCATCAACTAGAAGTCACGATCCAGCCCGCAGTGGTCGTTACCCCCAATGCGAGATCAGGATGTGGGCTTGATAACCGCCAGATCCCATGGGACGAAAGGGAAGTGGGGCCCAGCCTCAGCTTTGAAGTCAAGGGAACCTACCGGACGGGAAGTGGACAGAACATGCAAAAACTGAAATGTGGAAATCGACACGCGCATTGGATTGTGCCTCCATTTGGTGCTTGTTTCGTTCAACTTCGTTATTTCTTCTGTCATCCCATTTTCCCCATCTGCCGGCGACAACTTCAACTGCTTTGGCTATGGTCGTACTGCCCTGTTCAGCATGATTGATACCGTCCTATTGCTGTGCCGCTGCAATTATCTCCATTGCAACACTTCCATTTTGACGGCGCGCCCACTGTGGTGCATGTCAATTGACCTGACGATGTCGGAGTGTGCCTTGTGAGGTTGACACTTCAGTTCCACGCTTGAGGCTACCCATCATCAGAAGTCTTCCTCCTACCCACCGTGGTCTCGACCCCATTTTCAATTCTAGCCATGGAAAGTTTCTTACAGACGAACGGATGAAGCTATCCATTGCCCTTCCACGTACTACATACGGAGCTATGCGCTAATAATAGCCAGACTGTCAGGTCCAGCCAGCTCTGTCTGTTACCATCAAATCCAAATGTTCTCGGTTATCCGCCACGAGAAGAAGTGTAGCATTTTGAACCCCTCGAATGCACGCACGGTACAATGGTGGCCGTCGGTGGTTGGGATTGACTTGGATCTTTGTGGAGCACGGTGGACGGTTGGCTTGATCACGCAAGAATCAACAACAATTTTTTTTTTGACTTTTTTTTGAATTTTTTTTTTTGGGATTTTGATTTTTTCTCGCCCTTCCAGTCGTCCAGCCTCTTTTCTCCTCGCGCCAAGAGGTAACCCCCTCATTCTCGAATGGGGCCATCCCCACCAAGGCAGTGTCGTGGCCATGCGTGAGAGGGTTCTCTTCCACACACCTGCGTATGCCAGCGCGGGCGGCGGCGGGATACTGCGTCAGTAGCTTCTCCAGTCCCCATCATGTATGGAAGATCTATCTGTCTCTCCCGATGCGCTGTCCTACATTAGCCTACATACATGTTGCAGCGAAGCATGTACACACCCCCCTCCCCATGGTTTCCCATGGTATTGATTTTGCTTGCCACTCCCTGTCAGTCAGTCGAGACCGTCAATCACCCAGTCAACAAGCCAGTTAGTCTCTCGCAAGCCTCACTCCTTCAGTCCCGCCAGAAGGTCGAGAAGCCGTACCTACATTCAGGACCGGTAGCCGGAGGGAATGCCCTGGGCCAGTTGTCAGTTGCAGGGGAAACGTGGAGGGACGAGACGAGTTCAGGAAGCACTCGCCAACAAGCATCTATTCCGGGAAGAAATCTATCACAATTTGCTGGCTGCTCTACGGTAAGCAGACGAACTCAACAGGTCGTATCTACCAGGAGAGCTAACTGGTCCCGGTGTGAGCTGGCGCCCCCGAGCCCATATCGGATCACGTCCTAATACAGCCATTCAACAAGACAATAGAAAAGATGGACATGTGTTCCACGAACCGGACACATGAAGCTAAGTCGACATAGAGGGAAAGAAAGCAGTGAAAATAGGTGGTGGTAGTGTAGAAACAGAAAGCCACTCGACCAAGCAGAACCCCGTGGCAGGCGGATCACCTTCCATGCACGGCGTCCACCACTTTGGCTGGATGCGGGTATGATGGAACTGCATGGTCAGTCAAGGCCAGAAATCTCAGGGCAACCCCATTCAGTTGCTTCCACGCGGTTGTTCCCTCTCCCCCGGCTACCGGTTTCTCTGCTGCGTGCTCTTGCGCACCCTCACCTTGCATGCCCGACCTGCAGCAATCTACGAGATCGTTGCCATCTTCCGCGATTACACGACAAAGGATCCGCTTCTCGTCTACGCGGTCATAGCACGACATGGGGCTTCGAGATTACACTAATCTGTATAGTCAAGACCGTGAAGCTAGGGCAACTAGGAACGAGCAAATCGCAAGCATCTTGGAACTGATGGCAATCCTGGTCTGGCGCTGAGCGAGATACCAAAGGGCTAAAATGCAACGCCAAAACGTTGACCTATCCATGAGGAGAGGGAGGGGGCTCGAATCTAACGAGGGAAACCGCCCGTGGTCCTCATTCCGTATATTTTGCCATCCAAGCAACCACTCGACGCCTGCCCTTGAACGGCAGGGGATTGCCTCCCGATAATGGTGCGGGGATGCACGACGCAGTGCACTGCACCTCCAACCCTTGTTGCCCTGTTGGTCAACCAACATCACTATGCATTCGACGCGAGTATGCTTCGCATTACATACATGTGTTCCTGTGTTGCTTCCCCAGCTACTTGCCTCTCGAGCCTCTTCTTTGACCTCATCACTGCCGATGCTTTTACAATGGTTCCCGCGTCAAGATCAGCGCAACAGAAAGTACCCCTAGTGTTGGGGCTACCGAGTTATGATGCGCCTCTATACACACCAATGCGCCTGACAACTCTCGCTCGGAAGATGGGCAGATGGTCGATTCCCTGGAGGTGTTGTGGAACACGAGATTTTCTATCCCTATCCCGAACCCCATCCTCGTCATGTTGGACAAAAGCAACCATTCCCGATACCCTTCCTCGCCTTCTTCCCCTATCTGCTTCCCTTTGGTAACATTCACACCCCTGTTTTTGAGTGGCACACAGAGGTCCCGGCTCCTGAGTGGTCTCGTTTTGCCAGTTTTCTGGGTTTGCTGAACAAACTGTTCACTGCGCAGTGCCGGGGTCCAGGAAGGGACAAAAGACGAAAATGGTCTCCTGGAGAGCATGTTGTGTACTGTAAGGTACAGGAGGGTTGTTGTTCGTCCATCGACCCTCGGTGGAAAATATGCGGTACGAGTGCAGCATCAGTTTCCTGTGTTGGCAGAGGCAATACTCTCCGAGAACTGTAGCGACTACTGAGACCGGGCCGACGGTATTAACAACATATTTGACACGCGAGTATACCTCTATTGATACGCCCAGGAGACGAGAGCATGCAGAGTCGTTAATATTGACTGGCGGGCCTGGCTCACGAAAGATCATCCTGCTTCTGATACCGAGACTCTCCCCCTCCCGTTGATGCTGCGGCTGTTTTGGGTGTTTCGTTCTGGAACTGGAGGTATATCGAACTTTAAGTTGGCGAATCTTTTCACCGACAGAGTGGAGGTTCCTCTCAACCCGACCACCCCCTCTCCCGCGCCGTATATATCAGATGGTGTGATTCCGCATGGCCTGTACAGTGCTGCTGGACATAAGCTTATCCGAAACAAGGTGTGTGGTATAGGTAAGATCAATGGCCCGACGGTTCAATGTCCCTTCGCTATTTCAACCCTCCTTGGTTAACAATTATTAATATTGTTCCCTGGCATAATTGCTATGGCTGCCTCTCTATTTCCTGCAAGTGCGGCAGTGGCTGCGGTGTCGCGGTCTATGCATGCTCATTATCGTTTTTGTTATCGTTTCGTTTTACTTGTCCTAGCGAGATACACTCTATCAAAGATAAGTTTGGCTTCCAGAAGGTGTGTATGGAGTCTACTATGTACAAGTGTGTTCGCCAAGCTCAGGGCTCCTATATATGCACATTGCGTACATGTGCGGCGGATATATGTGATCCATTATAATCGCAGTGTACCCGAGATACTACGCTAGTATACGGGCTGGAATGTCAAAAGGTTGATTATTTCTCTCGGATCTGGTATCGACACCGCACATCGTCTAGATTAAAGCGATAGGCAAGATGGACAGATGGGTAAGTATGGCCACAAACAACCACCTAACTGTCAAGATGGTAAAAATTGAAACGTCGGCTCGTCCCTTGCCATAGCATGGAGAAGCTTGAACAGGCGAGACAGGTCACTGATCCCGAAATCGTCGAAACGTCTCTTTGCCACAATAAGGGAAGACAAAGTACACCAAAAATAACCACAACCGAGCTCCCTCTAACCAGGGTTTTTCTATTCATGTGTAAGTCAGACTTCACTCGTCGTCAACCAGCCCGTCAAGCAAGACGGCAAGGACGGGCGGTCGGGAAGTCATCAGCTTTCAGAACTATGTAAAGAACCAGAGCCAGAAACAAGGAAGTTCTATGGCGATGATGGTTGCTTGTTTGATGTCGATATTTCTATGGCTGATGGTCGATGGCGTCCGGGCGGCGCGGCGACGGCAAGGTTCAAGGCTTCAAATGCCACCACCACCACAGGCGATGTGTGTGGGTGTGTCTTTTGTCTCGTTACTTTCCCTTCTGTCCCTTTTCCCCCAGCCATCTCCATCCAGCCATTGCGACGGGATGCAAGCAAGAGCACGTCAACGGCTTGGCCTACTGTCACTACCTACATAGGTATTATTATGAGTCCCTGCTACTCCTTCGGGAGGAAGGTGCTCGGTTTCGCAACCCCCCAACCCTTTTTTTTTCTCCATTGTCCCCATCTCTGTAGGGCACTGCAATGAGGGCAACAATTGGTGGCACTTGTCGTCTCTCTCTTTCACTCTATGTATATGTATTCGTCTTTTACTTCGTTCTCCTTTTGAGTTTTTTTATTTTCTTTTCCCTTCCCACATTCCCGCCCCCCCCCCCCCTCCTCTCTCTCTCTC